GCTGGACAAGCACTTGTCAGCGGTGCTCTAGGCTGATCCTGCATGGAGCAGGGGGCTGGACTAGATGGCCTGTGTGGCCCCTTCCAACTCTGATTCTATGTTTTTTTCATTTTTTTCTCATGCCCAACATTTATCATATAGCTCACTGTAGTATATGGATCTTGGTTTCACCAGTGGGATTTTATTGTTTTGGCTGAGGTTTCCAAGAGACTTCATGTCTGTTTTCACATGTGTATGCCAAAAATTGGTAATGATCCATTTGGTGATTCTGGTAGGAACACAAGGCTGTTTGTCACTTGCCTGTTTCCTGCAGAAAGGAATGAAGTGGGAATGCCTTTGGGGAGCAACCCAAGTGCAAATTATCCCCCCCCCCCCCCGGTGCACCAAATGATGGGAATAATTTTGGAATGCCTTTCCGGGTGGCAGACCTGGCAGTCGGACTGGTTTTCCATGCTAAACTTGTGTGCATGCAGTTTATGGAAATAACCGTGTTACGTAGAATCCATGTGCCTTGGCATGTTTTTGCAGCACAGATGGTCAATCTGAGCTGGATTAAGATAGAAGGAAAATATTGTACCACCACCTGTTCTGCAGACCTACTGAAGACTGATTCACTTTGAGAGTTGAAGGTCCTCAATTTTGCTTCCAGAGCAGAGAATCTCATGGACTGATGCAGATGTTGGGGGACCTGTTAGTAGTTGTTTTGCTTTAACTTTATTATGCCCTTCCTTGAGAATCTTTGAACTGAAGTGCATGTTGTAAACTTCGTTAAATAAGTGATGCATCAAAGGAGCCAACAAACACATGATAACATTAAACACATTGACTTTTTAAAGAGCCTGTTTCAAAATAGAAATCTTTACAGCCCTTCCCAAAGGGGCACTCTTCCAAATGCCAGCCAGTTCTTCAGTGTGAGTCCATCACGCAAAATATTCACTGTCGCTGCAATTTTCAACCTGATGGCCGCTTGTGCCATTTTCAGTGCCTAAACTGGGAAGAGCAGGGAGGTGCATGGTTAATCTTGTCACTCCTAGCTCTTGCTTCAAAAAAAGAGCTGCCAACATAAATAGCATTTTCTGTGTTTTGGAACATTTTGGGCTGTTTTTCCAAGAGCAAGAGCTCAGAAAAATCCGTAAATCCATAAAACATCACAAACGGCTAAGAATCCAAATACAAAGCAGCTCACTTCAACCGTGTCTCCCTGCTATTGTCTGCCACTGCCCCCACCTGCCAGAGTGAAGGTATAGCAAGCAGACCTTTCCCACCCTAATCTTAGTTGGCTCTTAGGCTGATATGGAAGATGCCAATAAGCACCATCTAAAGCACTTGAGGCATCCCATTGATCTTGGAGTTAAGTACATGTCTAACCAGGCCTCGGGGTGTGCTCAGATGAGTTTGAAGCTCAGCCAGTCTTGCGTCTAGCCAGTGCCTGGATGAGAGAATTCACTGTGCCATCTTGAGTTCCCTAGAGGATTATATGTCAGCTCCTTTCCACTGGACTCCGTAAGACCTGAAAAGTGTCTCACTTGGGCTGGATCATGCACGAGTGTATGCTACTTAAATCAGAATAACTTTCATGCTTCGGTTGCTCACTGTTTGGTGCCCATGTGATTTAATAATGCTTTCCTCTTCTCTCTTCCTCCCCCCCCCCCATAGTACTCAAAGGAAAGAAGCTCAGTTTGCCAGCATAAGTGCCAAAACCCAATCATCAGCATCTGTCATCCTGGATGCTTAGAACAATCCTGACCACAAGCAAAAGGTGAAGGTGTTTGAGACAGGAAGTCCCCAAACCTTTTCTCGCGGAGGGTCATCGGTGGGCTCTGTAGGACCAGAGGACAGCCAGCTGACTTCTGTTTGATGCATCTTTGCCCTCTATCTTTTTTTATTACTATGTATAAAGATTTTTTACATAAAGAAACTTAATACTGTGTGAATTAATTCAGTGTGTAGGTTCAATTGGGATAGTTCCAAAAGTGAGGAAATTTTTTTTTTGGCGTGTGGGGTTGTTTATGACCAGGAATAAGTGCAAATGCTTTTTTTATTTTCCAAGGATTTTTTTTTCAATTACTGACTTTGTTTTGGGGCACAAAAATGTGTGCTGAGTGATGGATGGTAACAATTTTGATTTCAGCTTCCATTCCACTGTATTTATTTTTTTCCTCCAAAAGCTGAACGCTTTGGGTTGTCAAGAGAAGGGAATACCAGAAATGGGAGAGAATTCTCGTGGTTGGGATGTTGCCATTTCATCAAGTTTCTTAAATCAGCTAAGATCCCCCCCCCCCATTTTTCCAGTAGGGGCCTCCTCCTATAGTGTCTGCCAGCACATACCACCCTCTACCTCCGTTACCTTTTGAAGATATTAGCTTGGGAACATTTGGTGCCAATGCAGGGTTTTTGAATATGGAGGGGTTTGCATTTGTAAGACTAGCAGCAGACCCTTCCGTTGTGGTTTTTTTTTTTCCTTGTTCAAAATGAAACGGTCCCACATTTTGTGGTTGCTTGAAGCCTCTACTTTTTCTTAAAAGCATCATTGTTAATGGCTATGAAGGACGAACCTTGTGATAGTTGTCCAATTTGAAGTACTCTGTAGATGGCAGGTTTTTAAAACAATGTCTACAACTTTTTAAAAACATAACTTTATGAGCAATGTCCGTGTTTAGCTTCAAGCGAGTTTTAGAATGTGCCAGTTTTGAACAATTTAGTGTAATTTTTTTATAAACTTTATTCCTGAATCAACAGCACCAAGTACTATTCTTTTCTCACCTTTGCATTGATTCCCTTTTTTACTGAGCTGATGCATGACAACTTCTCGTGTGTTACCATCCTAAATAAACATTTTATGAAGTGGTATGCATTGCGGTGGTGTTCTGGGACCTGAGTGTCTGTGGCAGCCTGTTTCAATGCCATAGTTGCAATGTCTGTGTTGCCTGATAATTAATTTGGATTATAAAAGCAAAAGACTGAAGAGCACAAATAGCTTAAACTGTCTTGGCACAAATGGGTCTCTCACTGTTCAGTCATGGCTGCAAGGAGAAGTTAGAATACAATAATGTGTCTGCCTAAGTTACGGAAGGCAGAAAGAGTTCCTGTGAAATACTTTACAAGCCACTTAATCCCCACTCTTAACCTGACCATTTAAACACACACACGGTCACATTACTAAGGAGGAAATCAGTTGCTTGATTCATGCATAAAATCCCTTTAATTAGTAAGTTGCTGAGACACTCATCATAGTTCGCTGCATCAGGTTTTCGATTCACATGCTGGAAAGGCTTTTTGCTTACCAAATTTGGAATGGGTTGGGGTGGGAACTATAGGGGAAAGGCAGAAAGGTGACAAAGGGCCTTGATTCCGAGTGGTGGCACAATAACTGGCTTCATGATACATATGGATGCGTATAACTCTGATCTGGAGAAATGCAGGACTCCACCTCAGCCTTTGCTTGTTGCTCGGATGAATGTGTAGCCTGTTGCAAATATATTTTCTCATTCTATTGCTTTGTCTCATTCATTGAATGTACCGTTTGCATAAAGCTTTCTTGCCCCTCCCCCGCAAGTGGTATACTGCTCAGGAGAGAGTGAAGCCATCCCACTCTGTGTATGGCAACCAAAGTTTTGGACATACTGAGCAACAGCTTTCAGTCAGTTTTTAAAATAAAAGTTGTTTCTTCTTAGCAGCCAGGGGTCATATGCCATAACTCTTTGAGGGTGGCTGTAAGAACATTCATTCGTGTTATGGCCTTTCCTGCCATTTGCTATGGCAAAATAAATGGGGGTTTGCATATAGGAGGGGTAGATTTTGCAATTGGGGGGAGGGGACTATTTTCACTACATTGTGGACCTATTAGGGTAAGGCTGCCCTATTGAGTTCATTGTGTGTGGGGGGTACTGCTTGGGAAATACTGAGGGTTTTTAAAAATTAAACTTTTATTGAAGATAAACATGCTTACAAGTCGTTACTATAATTAAAACCATCCTATACAGAGGTTAATGTCAGCATTGCAGCTCATGTGTGCCCTCCCTCACGCCTCCAAATATATGTCCATTAATACACACACGGTAAACATGAAGACACAAGTTTAAAAGTGCTAACAACAAACTTTTGAAATAGGCTTGCAAAGCAGCCTCTGGTGCAGGTGTGGTTTTTAAAGCACACTATAAAATCCTGACTTGGATGGCCCAGAATGACCCGATCTCATTAGATCTCCGAAGCAATGCAGGGTTAGTATTTGGGTGGGAGACCATCAAGGAAGTCATGAGATTTTTTTTCATGTAAATGTGAGCAAACATATATAGGCTGGAGCTGCCCAAAGAGCACAGGAGAACACCTCTTTCCCGTGCTTTTTACTGATACTGTCATTGGTGATTTTTCTCATTTGGGTGGCCTAATTATAACGGTAACCGAGGGAGCAACTAAGTGCCTTGACCTGGATGGCCCAGGCTGACCTGGTCTGGTGGGATCTCAGAAGCAAGCGAAGCAGGGTCCGCTCTGGTCAGTTCTCGGATGGGAGACCACCCAGGAAGTCCAGGGTCTCTCCGCAGAGCCAGAGAATGACAAACACCACCTCTGAAGGTCTCTTGCCTTGGAAATCTTCTGGGATCTCCCTACGTGCTCTGCGGCTTGACGACAAAAAACCCCCGGGGGATCTCGCCTCCATGAAAACTAGCAGCTCTGCCACAATCAGGCAGCCAGACTTGGATGACCTTTGCACACACTAGAGCGCATGCGTCAAATTGTCGCTTACTTGGCCGCAATGCAAACAAGGATGTAGGGGCACAGGTAGGCATAATGGTTCTCTAAGCAGCATTTCCGGTTCCTAATGCCAGACGGTAGGAACTTCTATGTGAGGGTGACAGCGGAATTATAAAGGGACTAGAATTTAAGTTGCCCGCCGGTTTAAAGGCCTTCAGTGCTTTGAAGTACTCGCGACCTATACTCCAAAAAAGGTACCAAAGCAAGCTAGACAGAGAGGACTTTTTCTCGAGAAATTTCAAACTGCGTGACTTGAGTCTGCCTCTGCAAACCTAATGGCCTTGGGGGGAAGCCTGTTCCTCAATAATGCTAAATATTTATAAGCGCTACAAATGGAGGGAAGAAATTCATTTAAAGTATAAATCGTTAACGTTAACTAATCTGAGATTTTATGTGTATAGAGTTATTTTGCAAGCCGGTCCCCAGAAAAATAAGAGGGAAAGTTTTAACGCTTCCAAAAAGCTTGATGGCAGTAAAATGAACGGACGCCCTCATTATCTAATCAGAACCGGAATACGACGGTGTAGAAACCCTTCCTCAAAAAACTCCCATCTCTTTGGCAGGAAAAGCCTTTTCCTCCACCGCCCCACTTCTGCGCACGCGCATTTCCCCTCCACCCGGGAATAATGAGCCGTCGGCCCCTGCTGGCCAGTAGCGCGCATGCGGCGGCGAAACTGCTAGGAGGTGGTTAGCCGCCGCTGAACCGAAAGAATGTCGAGGTGGACGTGAGTGCGTCATGACGCCGCGCTGTCAGTAGGTGACCCCCAGCAGAGGGGTACATCCGGGCCCCTGGAGAAGGTACGAGGCTGGGGAATATTACAGCTGCAGTAGGGGGCGCTGTGGCTGATGGGGGCGCCCGTAGAGGGGAGGGGGGCGAGCCGTGTGTGTGGGGAGGGTATTATTTATTATTTTTAATAGGGGTCGGGTGGGGTTTTTTTTTAATGAGGAGAGTGTAGTAGCGGGGGGAGGAGTGGGGTTCCCAGATGTTGGGAATAAGTTGGGGGCAAGGAAGGAGGGGGTGGGGGGGCGCCTTGTTGCAACAGGGAAACTGAGGGAAAGCTAAGCAAGGGTATCCTTTGGGTTCACTGACGGATAGGTCTGTCAGTGTTTCTTAGCTGTCATGGCCAAATAGAACCTCCCAGTCCAGAGGCAGTGCACCTCTTGAGTGCGAAGGGCTGCATGGTGTAGGGCTGCCAACCTCCTGGAAGTCTCCCGGTCTCCAGACCACCAAAATCTGTTCCCCAAAATTGCATCTTCAGAGGGTTGGATTTGTATGGCGTTATGCTCCACAGAGGTCCCTCCCCAAACTACACACCCAAATCTCCAGGAATTCCCAGGCCCAGAGTTGGCAACGCTAGCTATTGTGTGAGGTGGGGCAAGACGGTTGTCCTCAGGCCCTGCCCGGTGGGCATCTGGTTAGCCTCTGTGGAAAGCCACTTCCCAGGGGAGTTAATAACAGCCCTGTGGCTCCTTTAACGAAATTTATTGTGGCGTTCACTTTTGTGAGTCAACTTGCTTCATTCGGACTCCTGTATAATTTTGATACAGCAGGTGTGAGCCCGGAATTTAGTGCCACCTTTGAAGGCTTACTTCTAAAATTGTTATTACTGCAGTGTTAATTTTCAGGGCAAGAGACATGACATAGCTAGAGCTTATCGAAGCATATTGCATGGTGAAAAAGATCAAATTCATCTCTGTAAAGCAGGTGCAGTTTTGTTTCTGCGGGGAACAAGATTCTGGGTTAGATGTGGCTTGGGTCTAGTTCAGAAGATTTCTAGATACAGATGGAAGCCGCAAGGGCTTGAACTGCAGCACTCCTTTCTGTGAACAGCAGGTTAAGAATTTGACTCCTGTTTGGTTTGGGGGAAAACAAGATGTTAGGCTAGATGGAACTTTGGCCCGATTGGGAAGATTTCTTCTTACGAATGCAAGTGGAACTCTTTTCCGTGGGGGATCCACTTGACAGGTTAAGTTTTTGCTGCTTCAGCAGGCACTTGAGGCAGCAGCTAACTTTCTTATTCCAATTTTTGGCTCTGTTTCATTGCCTTAATTGCAGCTGAATGTTAGGGTGTTTAAAATTATACTTTTAATGATTTATTTTTGTCTTAAGTAGTCTTGGGTAACCCGAAGGGTGGCATATAAATATGTAAAATAATAAGATGAATAAGATGATCAAGAATGCAGCTGAGTTTGCAGTGCCTTGTGACTGTAAAATGGGCACTGGACTTTCCCAGAGGAATGTGGGTAGTAAAAGAATTGGGCCTTGCAGAGAAATGGGGCGTATGAAATTCAAGAGGCCTGTTTCAGAAAAAAAATTAACCAAGAATATTGAGGAATCTTAAAGTTCTATGGATTTGTTGCGGCATAAGCTTTTGTCTTGGTCCACAAAAGCTTATGCCACAAGACAGTTGGTTTTTGTGTAGTTTGCGTATGCACTGAATGGTTGGGGGAAAGGTGGGCTCCATTAGGAAGGGGTTTGAAAACCACCAATATTGTAATGCTTGTGTGACTTCATTTTGAAGACGAAGGGGAGACTGGATTTATACCCCGTCCTTCACTATCCGAAGGCGTCTCAGAGCGGTTTACCATCTCCTTTCCCTTCCCCTCTCCACAACAGACATCCTGTGAGGGAGGCTGAGAGCTCTCTCGAGAACTGCCCTTGGGAGAACAGCTCTGAATGAACTTGTAACTGACCCAATGTCACAGCAGCAGCTGCATGTGGAGGAGTGGGGAATGAAACCTGGTTCTCCCAGATGAGAGTCTGCGCTCCTAACCACTACACCAAACTGGCTCTTGTGTTCAATTCTAGTCTGCATATCTCAGGAAAGATATTGCAGAGCTGGGAAACATGCAGAAGAAGGGCGGCCATGATGAGGAAGGGATGGGATGACAGCCAGTTTGGTGTAGTAGTTAAGAGCGGTGGACTCTAATCTGGAGAACCGGGTTTGATTCCCCACTCCTCCACATGCGACCTCTTTCGGGCCCACCTACCTCACAGGGTGTCTGTTGTGGGGAGAGGAAGGGAAGGAGATCGTAAGCTGCTCTGAGACTCCCGAGTGAGGAACGGGATATAAATCCAACTCTTCTTCTTCCTCTTCCTCCTCCTCCTTTAGCAGAAGTGAGGTTCTGTAGCGCATCTCTGTTCTTCCGCAGGAGGTGAGGCACCGCAGCAGGCAGGGGTCTCCAGGATGCCTGGGATGGTGATATTCGGGAGGCGCTGGGCCATTGGCAGCGATGACTTTGTCTTCCCGGAAGCCTTTGAGCTCTTTGTCAGGGTGAGCTGGTAAGTGCGACTGCTTCACTACCACTGTGTCTGACGAAGGGAGCTTTGACTTGCTAGGAAGGTTATACCACCCCAGAAATCTTATGGGTCTCAAAGGTGCTCTCAGATGTAACTGTTGTACTGCAGGCCGCTTCATGCTGTTACGTTTGGCACTTTGCAAAGCATGTAAACCTTCATGTGATTTCTAAAATGAGAGATGCTGCGGAGGACCCACCGTGTCCTTGCAAGGATGATTTGATTAGATTCCCGTGTCCCCAGACCTGGGACCCTGGAACAAATCCCCTTCTGATAGTTTGACCGAGCCTGGGTTTGGACACAGGCAGTAGAATGCACCAATAAAAGCAACAGGCTTTATTGAAAAGGTTTCAAAAGGGCTTCAGGCTTTAGCATAAGGCAAGAACAAGCAGGTGCAATAAAACAACCAAATCTAGCTTCCTACATACACAAGCATACATGAAGACGGGCAGGTTACAATATCTTCAGATCAGTGTAAGTAACAAAGCAGCAGGCTGGAAATGCAGCAAGATGGTCCCTGGCCCTGATGGTATTAGTGGGCCATGCCTGGAACACTTGTGCCAGGTGGTTGATACAGGCGGGTAGCCGTGTTGATCTGAAACAACAGAACAAAGTTTGAGTCCAGGGGCACCTGTTTGGTGTAGTGCCAGTTTGGTGTCATGGTTAGAGGGGTGAGTGTTTTTTTATTTGCTTTCAGCTGAGGGGATTCAGCTGAGGATACTGTGTGGGAGGACTGTGTTTGGGAGTGTGTGAAAGCGATTAGAGTTGTTGCAGAGTTGTTGCAGAGTCCTGGCTGCTTGAGAGAGGGAGAGGAAGGGGCATTGTTTGACTGTGATTGACTTTAATTCAGTATTTAAGAAAGCACCTTGCCAGAGGCACGAGCCTCTGACACTTAGCCTAGGGACTCTTAGACTAGGGGCTCTGTAAGAAGCCCAGGAAGAGCCAGAAAGCCAAGGCCCTAGGCTCTTTGTCTTCCCCGTAAGGTAAGTTGACTTCGACAAGAAAAACCATATAAATACAAAGGGTTCTAAAAAGGGGATTATAATTACTTATTTTAAAAGAATTATGAAGCTAGAATGCCAGCAGGGGGTTGGGGGCTATCCAGTGTTTTGCACGGAGTGTCACATGTATGACTATCTGCCCACTGGACAGAAGTCTTGGGTGTGTGCTCAGTGCAAGGAGCTCCTGGTTCTCAGGGAACGTGTTTGCTCCCTTGAGGCCAAGGTGGCTGACCTGGAGAAGCAGAGACAGTCAGTCAGGCACACAGAAAAGACTCTCGTGGACGATAGATATGTCCCACTCTGGATCTGGCAGCCCCACCAGTGTCAGGGAGCATAAGGGTCAAGGAGAAACAGGGGACCGTGCTGAGGATAAGGGGAATGTGCCCTCAGACGGGACCTCT